CTTCATTCAGTAGCATATTGTTTAGTCTCCAGGTGTTGAAATAAATTTTATTTTTTTCATTTTGTCATTGATTTTCAATTTCACTCAATTATGATCTCATAAACTACATGGTAGTATCTCTACTTTTTTGTACTATGTTTTGTGGCATAGTACATCGTCTATTTTAGAGAAGGACTCATGTGCTGCTGAGAAGAAAGTGTATCCACATAATGAAGGTTGAACTATTCTATATATGTCAGTTAAGCCTAAGTTATTGATTACATTATTGAGTTCTATAAATTCTTTTTTAGAGGGAGAAAGAGAGAGAGAGAGAGAGAGAGAGAGAGAGAGAGAATTTTTTAATATTTATTTTTTAGTTTTCGGCGGACATAACATCTCTGTTTGTATGTGGTGCTGAGGATCGAACCCACTACCACACACATGCCAGTCAAGTGTGCTACCACTTGAGCCACATCCCCAGCCCTATATAGATTCTTTATTCAACTTTTGTTTGGAAGATCTATTCAGTGATGAGAGAGTTGTGTTAAAGTCACCCAAGATTATTGTGTTGTGATTAATTTGACTCTTGACCTTGAGAAGAATTTGTTTGATGAACATAGCTATACCTTTGCTTGGGGCATATATATTTATGATTGTTATGTCTAGTGGGTGTATGGTTCCCTTGAGCAGTATGTAATGTCCATCTTTTGATTAACTTTGGCTTGAAGTCTTGGTCTGGGAGAGGTGGGATAAGTTCAGAATTTGAGAAGGCACCGCCAAGGCCTGTTCTGGACTCCGTGTGGGGACCTGGTGAGAACCCGGCATGGCTGCAGAACCTACCCATCACCCACCCACCCTGGGCAGCCAAGTGGGAGTGATTATTCCAAAATGCCCTGAAATCCAGACTCAATACTGCCCCACCTGCAGGCCCCAGGCATGAAGAGGTTTGCCTCTTTCAATGTACTTTGTTGACATCAGAACCCACCTTGGGTCATTGGGACTGTTAAAAGTATCCTGGCTTTATTTGTTTATTTTTTACTCCGTACCCCATTAATGACTATTAAGCGGAAATTTTTTTGCTCACTGGTTCTAAAGGAAGAAATCCCCGCTCTAGTAAAAAGACTGAGGCGCGTATATACATGGATGTCAAACCGGATATTTAGAAATATCTAAGTTGTTACCATTACATAGAAAGTTCACTTTTGGGAAATGTAGTGGCTGTGTAATTCCTACCAGGAGACATGTGGTTTTCAGGGTGAATTTCTTCCTATTTGCTGTTTGCTTTGAAGCAACCTAGAGGAAAGGCCTTTGTAAAGGCTCTTAGATAACCTTCAGGTTCAAAATTCCAAATAGATGAGCAATCTCTACATTCAAAATCAAATGTAGTATTTGAAGTTAACTGCAGTTTATGTAGGTTACAAGAATAGCTCTTGAAAGTAAATGCACAATGCAATGATGCCATGGTGTAGTTTTCTAATAAGTTATTGTTGGGCCTACTTGACTGGAAGTTTTCTGCCTAAAATTGAATACCACTTGTGCATTCAGAAACAAATTACAGATATGTAAAAAAGCAAATGTAATAAAAAGTGATAAAAATCGTGCTGTTATACATATTTAAATATAAATTTTGACACACTAAGAAAACGTATATTTCTTATTATTGGTTTTAGTATACTGTGTTTAATAATTTATCCATTTCCTTTTCTCTTATGTCAAGGTGAGTTTTCTTAGGTGTATTAGGCAGGTTTATGCACAGAAATAGAACTTGCATACAGGCATAGAGAGATTGCTTCATTGTGAGGAAATGGCTCACACAGATATGGAGGTTGAGAAGTCACATGATCTTTTATATGCAAGAAGGACATTCTGAAAATCTGGTGCTATAATTCAGCCTGAGTTTGAAAACCTGAAAACCAGAGGAGTCATTAATGTAAATCATAGTCCAAGGTAAAGAGAACTATAATGAGGTGTCTCAGCTTTGGCAAGTAAGCAAGAAATGGTAAAACCTCCCATCATTTGCTTTTTGTTCTATGCAGTCTGTCAGTTGGGTGGATAATTCTCCTTCATTTTGAGAAGGGAAATCTACGTTACTGACTCCACTGAGTGAAGTTGACACATAAAGAAAACTTAGTATTATTAGTAAAGGAAACTGAATTAATGACACACCTCAGATTATTCCCTTGTCACATTCCAGAAGTAAATCCCCTGGTTATGCTTTTTTATAATTACGACTAGATTTTATGCAATTCTTTTAGCTCTTCTTTATCACCAAGAAGAAATAATAAAAATAAAATGAATTTTATAAATTGATAAAAAAGCTACATGTTAAATCTCAGTATAAAAAGCTACATGTTATATCTAAAAAATGCAGGGCAGTGCAGAGATTGCACAAGAGTCAGGGATAATGAGGAGTTTTGCATAAATAAATTTTAAATTACTCTTTCTAAAATGTATAAATTGTTTTATCCAGTTGTATAGAGAAGCTGAAAAGAGAGGAAATCTTCACATCATACAAATTAATGACACCATGTTTTAGAAATGGGAATTTTATTTTGATACTAATATTTTTGATGCCTGAAGAGAGTTAAGGGCATAATTTCTGTAGCTATTTTGAAATAAAAATTAAATTCAAAGATATTGATCTTATATTTGACTCAGTATTTAAATTTTCACATTTTCAACAATTTTCCATATCTGTGGCAAATAAATAATAAAATAAATAAATAACAAATAAATGAAAACAAATAAATAGATAACAAATACATAAAAATTTATTTGTTCTGCAGATTAACTCTTTATGCCCACAATTGTATTCGATGTTACAGCCAAAATCATCATTTCTGCTATAACTTCACAGTTTCCAGTAATGTCAGTTGTTCACAGAATGACTTTTCTTAGAACTTTAACTTGTTATTCTGTTTACAGACAGATCTACAGGTTTTTTTTTCTTACTCTGTGTCTGAAAGATTCAACTGCCACATCTTCCTGTATTGAGAGTTGAGAAGTGTGAATGTTGGATGTGATCTTCAAGGTGCCTCCTGGATCACTCCAACATCAGAATGCTTTCTTGCCTAGGGTTTTCAGACTTTTACCATGGGCAGATATTACTGGGAGATGGAAGTGGGAGACTCTTGGAACTGGGCTTTTGGAGTCTGTAATGATTATTGGAAAGGGAACAAAGATGACAAGATGGATGAGGTGAATGGCTCTTCCTCTTTGGATGTGTTGAGGAGGGTTCCCATTACACTCTCTTTACCACCTCTCTACTTGTTTTTCAGTAAGTACTAAGGCCATTGGCTGAATAAGAGTATTCCTAGATTGTGAAGGTAGAACTGTGATCTCTACTAATGTTTCTCAAAGATTTTTGATACACAGTATTTCTTCCTATTCTTTCTCTCCCCATATCAAAGCTTTTTTTCTGCTGTACTCACTTCTGACCAGACATACATAAGGACTGTGCCGCTAATACTATGGAAAATCCAATATCTAAAGAAGCCCTCTCCCTTGGGTCTTATGAAACATGTCAAACAGAATATATCTTTTTAAGTTTAGGTTACCTCAAATTTTGTAAAAATCTACTTAATCTGTTATTAATTGTGGTGATAATATTAAAATCCATAAAGTTTTGAAATTTATGCATTTTTTAATTAATTTATTTTGGGAATATAATCACCTATGATACATGAAGTTGGACATATTTTCTGGTTTTATTTGTGAAATGTAACAAAATGAAGGATTAGATAATTTTTGATTTAATAAAGGTAAAATTCAATGTAAGAGAATGTGTCTCTTTCTTTTCTGTGTTGGTCCATTTTCTGTTCTTTTAATATAATACCTGAATCTGGGTAAATTATAAAGAAAAGATTCATTTATCTCACAGTTCTGAAGACAGGTAAGTTCTAGGTTATGATGCCTGAATTTTTGGTGAGGGTTTCATGCTGAATCTGCTCATAGCAGAGAAGCAGTAGGAGAAATTGTCCAGTGAAGAAAATCTGAACACATGTGTGACACCCTTCATAACAACCCACTTTCTAGAAAATGACTCATTTTCCAAGGGCCCAGAATTTACTCCTTCATTCAGGCTCAGTCCAAGGAGAAAGGCACTAATTCTTTTTAATGACTTAAAGACCTCATCTCAAAATACTACTGCTCTATGGAATAATATTTCAACTTGAGTTTTCTTGGGAAAAATCCACATTTAAACCATAGTACTATATAGCCCCTCTGTCTACAATTCAGAGTCTGGGAGGTTGTATCTACTTGATTTCTTCCTTTGGGAAGAAATTTAGCAAATGCGAACATTTGAGGTCCCTGGAAATGAGGTGCTTCCCTCATCTATCACTCTGATAATCTGAGGAAGAAATAGGGCCTCCTTGACAGCCTAATGCCTTTGTAGCAGAGGAACTCTCAGGGCAGTGACTTCTATACATTTTTCTTTATAGCCCAGGATTCTTGTATTATAAACCAAAACTCATGCTTCCATACCATACCAACCAATATGTTATTTTTTGAAGTCTCATTGTTTTTACATCCTAAAATCATAATTAGTAACTATTGGACAAAATCATCTTTGATACTGATCTGTGTAAAAGGGAGGTTCCAGGAAAGTCTACCAAAGCTAGAAAGAATCAATAGAGGCTTCAGGGTGACAAATTTTCACTGCCACACAGAATGGGGTGTGGGGAATGTGGCCATCTTTGCTCTTGCAGTTCATGCTGTGTATGTGGCATTACTTAAGAAGTAGCCCCAAGGAAGAGTCCTGGGTCTCTTTTGGGAAAGCATGAGATTGATGTGACAAAAATAAAAACAAAAATATTTTTCTTTCTTTCTTTCTTTTTTTCTCTTTTTTTAAACAGAAATGGAATGCAGGGACACTTTACCACTGAACCACATCTTCAGCCCTTTTAAATATTTTAATTAGAGGTAGAGTCTTTCTGTATTGCTTAGGGCCTCACTAAATTGCTGAGGCTTTATTTGGACTTCTGATACTCTTGCCTCAGCCTCAGGAACTGGGATTATAGGTGTGGGCCACCTCATCTGGTGAGGAAAACAAAATTTCTAAACTTAATCCCTCTCCATCTGGGAGAATAAAACTAAAGCAAAAGTCAGAAAGAAAAATGTTTATAAATGTTCAAAAACACATACTAAAAAATACATATGATGACACCCTCTTTCTGTTCTTAAAGGTGAAAAATAAAAGAACAAAACTGAAAATCTTTAGATATAATCTGAATTTGGGGATTCAATTTTTTTAAGTCAGTGACTGTGGGCAGGAGTGTGTCCCTGGCCTGAGGGGGTGCCACTGTGGTGGATTCCTGGAGAAGGTTTTCAGTACTTTGAATAATCCCCTTTGGTCGCTTTTCCCTCCCCCACAACCATCAATTTTTTTTAAGTCAGTAACCCTGGTCAAGACTCTAAATGTTTGTTTATGAAGATTAGAGAAGGGATTACATCAAAATTTTCTACCTGGAAACTAATTACCCACACATCCAAACCACTCACACTAATCTAATCGCCCATGCTAATCTAATTACCTACACTAATTACCTAACACTGATTGGAAACACCCTAAATGCAATCAAGGAAGAAGTGGGTGTGGTCTTCAGGGACTCAATAAAAGTGCACTCCAGGAGACCAGCTCATTCTTCCCTGAGTAGAGTTTGAAGCTCACCTGGCTGAATGACTTCAAAATCGATCCCCTCCACACCTTGAGAGCCTGATCCTGAAGATTAATTCATAGTTTCAATTCTGTAGCAAGAACTGCTGAAACCATAGAGTAATTCTTAAGGTACGTATACAATTGCCACATGAGCTGTAGCTACTACTTTCCCAAACAAAATCAAATGTAATTCCATAATTTAAACTTTTTTTCCTTTCTTTTTCTTTGTATTGATTGATTGATTGATTGATTGTACTGGAGACTGAATTCAGAGGCACTGGACCACTGAGCCACATCCCCATTTCTATTTTGGATTCTATTTAGAGACAGGGTCTCACTGAGTTGCTTAGAGTCTTGCTTTTGCTGAGGCTGGTGAGGAACTTGCACTGCTTCTGTCTCAGGTGTGTGCTACCATGCCCAGTGCTCCTACATACTTTATAAGCACTCTGAAACTAGTTCTCAGATAATGTATAATTTTTTACCTGTAGGTCCAAAACTATTTTTAGGAATATTTTATCTCTTCCATTCTTAGAAGCTCAACTATAGTAGAAATGAGAACCCAGATTTTTAGCTAAATAAAAACTGTAAAGAAGTCTTTGTTTTTTGGAGCAGATTAAAATAATCACATATTTTCACAGTATGAGGTGCTTGATAATAGTTCAGACTTGTATAGAGAGCTACTCACTTAAATATTTGATTTATTTGCGTTCTTTATTTACTCAGTTTGTTCTGTTTTGTCATGTACAAAAGCAAGTTTATTATTCCCTGGAGAGTAGTGTGCTATTCAATGAGAATATGAGTAAAAATTGGTTCAGGTCTTTATCTCTTTAAGGGTAGATGATTAAATCCTTATGGTTTTCTTCCCTCAGAATAATGGATTCAGAAATACCACAAGTGTTCCAGAAAGAACTCACTTGCTCTGTCTGCCTGAAGTACCTTATATACCCAGTCACCATAGGCTGTGGGCACAGCTTTTGTTGGCCCTGTTTCTTTGTTCCCTGGGGACAAGCCCAAATTCTTGCCTGTTGCCCTGTGTGCAGGGAGCCATCACAGCAGGGAGATGTCAAAAACAATATTCTTCTGAAGAATCTTACATCAATCGCAAGGCAGGCTCACCTCAGGCAATTCCTGAGCTCTGAGAAAAATATATGTGTGACCCACCAGCAGACAAAGAAGATTTTCTGTGAGGAGAACAAGAACCTGCTCTGTTGGCTCTGCTGCAACCCTCAGGAGCACAGGGCTCACAACCACCCTTCAGTGGAAAGGGCTGCTGAGGAATACCAGGTAAGTGACACCAGTGAGAACACTGTGAAGGCTAAGAGATTACAAAAGAGCTGAGGATCTGGATGATGATGATGATTGCCCTACTCTTTTCTGTATGCTAGGTAACTTTATAAGCATCAAGGAAGAAGCTAAGAATCAAAGATGTAAGCAATAAATAAAATATGTAAGCATGCCTGACTTGGTGGAGCTTGATTCCACAGAGGTAGTGATAAAGGAGTTGGTCACTTTAATTTTAATTTTCATGGTTAAGGCATTAGAAACTGCTTATTTTGAAAAGAGTTACTGGCTACCAAAATGACAAATGCAATACATTTCTATACAGCATGAACATTTACTAACACTAGGGAATAAATTAGATAAAAGCCTTTGGGGAATTAACAGGGTAGAGCATCGGAAAACAAAATCTGAAGCCAATTGCCACACTATCTAAAAACTATTCATCTTTATCAGTATCCCTAGGCACATGGCTACATTATGCACTTTTGCAGTCTGATATCTCCTAAAATTCACAATCATCAATAGCAAAAGGACAGCAATATGATTTTTTTTTCTCACTAAAGTACTTATCTCTTTTTGTTTTATTCTCTATCATTGTGAGATTGAAGCCAAATGTGCTTGCTTCTCTATTGTTTGAGTTTATATTTCTTTTTCAGGAGAAGCTCCTAAAGCAAATAAGATCATTACGGGAAAAGATCCAAGTAAATCAAAGAAATATAGATGAAGAGAACAAAATAATCAGTCCATGGATCGTAAGTATGAGTCTATTTCCTTGAGACTCAGCTTGAAACAGACGTACTAGAAATCCATCCATTATTCATTATGGCATCATGGTGTAAGGATATTAGGTACATCATTTCTGGTGGCTTGGAATCCTAAAAGTCAAATTTGACTTTGTTGATCAAACAAATGACCAGGCAGTGTCATAGGGAGGTTTGAGATGAAAATTAATTTTCTCACCAGAGATCAGAATATTGCATATAGTGATTTAAGTGACAGCTCTAAATTCTAATCGCTTGCATGTAGAAATTTATATTTCAAGGATAAATTGTCAATCAAAACCTTTTCTTAAGATATTTCAGGCATTCATGAAGCAGATAAAAGTGGTTGGAGGGAAGGATGGGTTTGGTTCCTTGCCTTTGTTATAAAAACTAGGGAAAGAATGAAGATAAAAGAAGAGTGAATTTCTAATTTCTGAAATGTGGATGCATATAAAATTATGGCATATGTAACATACTGGTAAAAAGCCAATGGTCAAAGAGAGAGGTTTAGGTGGAGGAGGTTAAAATCATACTGGAATTGTGATCTAGACAATCTCTCTCTACAGTACTATGTGTATCTCAGGGAAGAGCTGATCAGGGCTGAGTACAGGAAACTACATCCAGTTCTTCATGAGGAGGAAAATCGACATCTAGACATTCTTAGAAAGGAAAGCAAAAGAATTTTAGAGGAACTCAAAAAAAGTGAAGCCAATATGGTTCAAAAGAAGAAAGACTTAAGAGAAATATATGAGGAGCTGGTGAAAATGTCCCATAAACCATATGTGGAGCTGCTCCAGGTAAGAACTTAGTTGTGCATGAAAGTATTTTATATGATTTGGTGTTCTCATTTTGACCACATTATTTGGTAGTTTTTTTTTTTTTTTTTTTTTTTTTTTTAATTTCCTGCATCAATTATGGGGTTCTTTCCTCTTTGGATATAATCTACTTAAAGTTTACCTTCTATCCTGACTATAAATAAGCAAGATTTATGAAACTCTGTGAGTAGCTCTCCTAGGATTTTTTTTTTAATTTTTCTGTTGTATCTTGCTTCTCTAAGATCCAGAAAAATAACAATTTATTCATGAACATTTCATTTTTTGCCTGCCATTTGACAATATGCAGACATCTTGGAAAAACTTGTGTTCTCTTTCTTCTGTTTAAAAGTTATGGAATTGGGGACAGTAAACACTGTGTATTACTGATATCCTTCATTCTCTTTAGACCCTCTGGATTCTGATTTAATCACAAATTCAGAATCTTTAAATATGTTTTACTGGTACTGTCCTGAGAGATGAAAATGAATTCATAAGAAGCATTGATGTGATGATATTTGATGCTACATGATCTTTCCAAAAACAAAATACTATTCAGTTTCTTAAAAAAAAATAAGCCTTTTTTTTTTTTTTTTTTTTTTTTGCAGGACTTGGGAGACCTATTGGCCAGGTAAATTTTGACTTTAGTGTAAACTGGGATACCATGGAGAGCTATGAAAATGCTTAAGTTGTTTCTAACAAAGTGAAGGTATATTTTATGTAGAGAGTAATCAACTGTGTGTTCATGTGTTTGTTTGAATATGATTTCCTCTTCCCCTTTATGAGAAGTCAGCCTGTATTTCCCCTGTTGGTCGAGGGATATATGTCATCCTGGGCTGAATGTTGATGTTCATAAATGCAACCATGTATGATTTGACATTGTAAATCATAAACACTGAGGTGCATGGGACAGTTTTTCCTAGTTAGCTAATGAGAGACATGGGTACCTCTGAGAAATGGGTTGTTAACTGGCAAATTAAGTAGGAAAGATTCCTAGAAACAGTCCCCTCTCATGTTCACAGAGGTACATTCACAAGAAAAAGGTTTCAAGAAACATTTTCAGCAGAATTGTTGTTTAGTTCTTTAAAAACTGTGATGTCATTTTTGTCACCAGAAGATTCATGTCCTCTTCCTACTTTCAGGAGTGAATCAGTGCAGCTGCACTTGCCTCAGCCTATAAAGCCAGCACTTCCTGCCCAGACCATCACTGGACTGATAGACAGGCTCAAGTGTTTCCAAGGTGAGTGTCAGCCCAGTGATGGGAGCATAGTGTAATGACTTTCAATAATGATTTTCTATGGGAAACCTTTCCATTTATTAACATTTAATTTACCCAAAGGGAATGGTCTGCCAATTGGTATTTATAATTATATTTAGTAATCTGATCACCATGATTAAATAAGGAAAAAAATAAGTGATCACTGGTAAAATAATAAATGTGATTTGGGCTATACATAAAAAACCATTTCAATCAATAAGACAATTATAAATTAGTTCAGTATGTTCCCTTTTTAAATTAAGTGCACTGAGTGATGGAGGTTATTTAAACATTACCCTTAAAATGTCTTAGAAATTGAATGTGTGATATGTATTTTATTAAAAATATATATAAATAAATAAATATATATATATATATATATATATATAATATACAAAATGCATTAAATTTAATATAATAGCATGTATGAACAAACATAAAATAACTGAATGCACAGAGCAATATTTCACAAGCACCAAAAAAAGACAATTTGGTATATGATGAAGCAGTTTTTAGATTTCCATGGTAGAACTAAATAGGAACCATAGCAAGGAATTATTTCTTTAGATTGAATGGGAACGCAGACCTCCAATTTCTCAGATGAAATGAAAAGTAACAAGCTGGAAGTAGACATGCCCACTCTTGTATTACAGTGTCCTTATATTTATCACTGTTTTCATTGTGATTGGAATATTTTTTCTTCTGCAGTTTTCTAGAAACCTGTGAGTGCAATGCACTTCAGCCACAATTACCCCTCTTCTTCTGCCACCCCCTCCCCCCCCCCATTAAGTCTCAGGTAGACCTTCTCATCTAACAGCAATTTAAAAGTTGGTTTTGATTTGAATATTCTCTTCATTCTACAGTGGAGATATCCTTTGAAAATACAGTGTCCAGTGATAACCTCAAGCTATTTGATGATGTGAGAAGTTTGAGATTTGGGCACGTCCTTCCAGACTTATCTTTGAATTCTGATGGAATTAAATATTTTGCTGCATGGGGAACAGAGACTTTCAACTCTGGGAAACTGTACTGGGAATTAGATATGAAAGATCCTTTGGACTGGGCTGTAGGAGTCTGTAAGGATTCCTGGATAAGAAGGAATGGCACAGTGATTGAATCCGAAGACGTGTTTCTTCTCCTTTTTGTCAAGGAAGATGATGGCCATAGTCTTTTGACAACCTCCCCAATGCTTTCTCACTATATAGAGAAGCCTCAGGGCCGGGTTGGTGTGTTTCTTGATTTTGAGAGTGAAAGTGTGAGTTTTGTGAACGTTGCCAAGAGTTCTCTTATATGGCGGTACCCTTCAGGCTCTTTGAATTTCCCAGTCAGGCCTTTTGTTCACACTGGCCACAAGTGAACAGGGATATGTCTGGAACTCTATGCCTGGGGAATTTACATTTCAGGAAGCCCTTCCTTGTTGAAGTTTACAATACTGTACTTTAGTGCTTTTTAAGTAATTTGTACTTGATCCAGACATGGTGGCACATGCCTATTAATTCACACAATTTGGTTAATTTGGGAGTCTGATGTAGAAGGACTTCAAGTTTGAGGCCAGCCTGGGCAACTTAGCAAGACCCTGTCTCAAAATAATTAAAAATTATAATAATAATAAGAAGAAATAAAAGGTCTGGGAATGTAGTTCTTTGGTAGAATACCCCTGGGTTTAATACCCAATGAAAAAATAAAAATGGCATTTTGTTGAATATAACTTTCTTTTTAAATATAAAGACAGTGTAAATTACCAAATTGCGTTGACTCAATTTTTTTTTTCTTCTAATGATGGTCATCTTTTGTGGAACATAAAATTATTGGCAAACTATGTGTTCCAGATGCACTACATGCTGTGACTGCTTACATGTTTTGTGAATTTGTCAGATTTAAGATTGCATAATTTTATGATTTAAGCTGAATGACATTTTTTAGGATGGATTTTTATATCATTCTCTGCAATAAACATTATTTTGATGTTTTCATCTTTCTATTGATCTAAGAAAATATAATTTATTTTTCCTTGGGAAATAAAACAAATGAAGTTCTTTCTCACACTCAGGACAAGGACCCATTTTTCACTGAAGCCAGTAAACTTGGACCTTCCTCTTTCCCTTATATTTCCTAAACTATTTTAAAGGAGTTTTATGTTAACAGCAAAACTGAGAGGAAATTAAAAAAAAATTACTTGTATTAACTGCCCCCTCTTTCTAAATACAAGTGTGTAGCTTTACTCGTTTCCAAAATCCCTAGTCAGAATGATACATTTGTTAAAACCAATGAACTTATTTTAATACACAGACTATGCGGATATCACATATTTTAATATCATATAATGAGGAAAGAAGTTTGTGTGTGTGTTCTTTCTTTCTAAAAATATATCTCTAGTCTATGTATGAGAAAATAGCTGGAAACCAAAACTGAAGATCATTTTACAAAAGACCTATGTAGTATTCCTCAAAATTGTGAAGGTCGAGCTAGTCAGACAGAGGAAAATTTGAAGAAAGAAAGCTTAGAGGAAAAACAACCATCAGGTGGGGAATTACAACAGGAGGCTGCTACTAACTCCGTTCTATCACCAGAGGGTGTAATTCAACCAACAGCTCCATCTACAGCTGAGCGGCCCTCAACTCCCGTAGTTGATGGACGGAATCCTGAGGCAGGACCCCAAAGATTAGCATGCCCTATACTTGAGTAGGCAGGAGGGCAACGAATTCACCATGCTTTATATTTCAAAATAGTGAAGCAATTAAAGGAGGCTGTAACAACCTATGGGCCACAAGCACCCTTCACTGTGAGCATGGTCGAATCCATTACCAACTTAGACATGACGCCAGCAGATTGGGCTAACATGTGTCTATCTGTGTTAAATGGAGGACAATATTTGTTATGGAAGGTTGCCAATGAGGAATTTTGCATGGAGACAGCTAGGCGAAATGCAGCAGCTGGTTACCCTCAAAGAAATCTAGATATGTTATTAGGAAAAGGACCTTATGAGGGTCAACGGCAACAAATTGAATATGATCCTGGCGTATACGCACAAATTGCTGTAGATGCGGTTAGGGCATGTAAAACTTTACAGGGGCATGGAGATTTACAAGGACAATTATCTAAGGTAATACAAGGAACTAATGAACCTTACGCTGAATTTGTAGATAGGCTTATTCAAACAGCTTCTAGAATATTTGGAGATACAGAACAGGCAATGCCATTTATAAAACAACTGGCTTATGACCAAGCAAATCGTTGCTGCAGAGAGGTCATTAGACCAAGGAGACATGAAGATTTAAACACATATATTAAATTATGTAGAGACATTAATGAACAAGGGCAAGTCTTAGCAGCAGTACAAGAGGCTTTAGATGCCAGGCCAAAAACATGCTATAATTGTGATCAAACAGGACATTTTAAGAGGAGTTGCCCCATAGGAGGAGGGTTTAACAAAGCTAGGAATCAAAGGAATAGAATACCGGGTATTTGCCCACGATGCCGTATAGGGAAACATTGGGCTAATGAATGCCGTTCTCAAACCACCATAGAGGGTATTCCATTATCAAAAAACAGACAAGGACCAAGTGTTTACCCACAATATCGTGGAGAAAGGCATCAGGCTCCATTGCCAAAAAACGGACTGGAGGGCCCAATGCTCCGGGGCCCCAAACCACAAATATACGGGGCAATGGAGGAACCCAGCAGAACCATCAAGGTAGTGCCCAGGACGCATTATCCATTAAATCCCTCATCAGACAAACTAGAGGGAGCGCAGGGTTGGACATCTGCACCTCTGCCAGAGCAGTACTAACTCCAGAGATGGGAGTTCACATCATTCCCACAGGAGTAAAAGGACCTCTTCCCCAAGGAACAGTAGGCTTATTATTGGGACACAGTTCTTCAACACTAAAAGGACTTATGATAAGTCCTGGGGTAATTGATCCCAATTATGAGGGTGAAATAAAAATTATAGCTAGTTCTCCAAGAGGTATATCAGTAATTTCACCAGGAGATAGAATAGCACAATTATTAATAATACCCAGCCTGCATGATAAATTTTCCAGTCATACTGTAGAAAGAGGTTCCAAGGGATTAGGCTCCACAGGTGTAGATTGGGCTATGCTGTCTTTAAATTTAGATTCTTGCCCCATGCTAAAACTAAATATTCAAGGACATGACTTTAATGGGCTACTGGACACAGGTGCTGACCTTAGCATCATATCTCGTCAAGAATGGCCAAAACATTGGCCATTACAACAAGCCACTCAGACGCTTCGAGGCCTAGGAGTGGCAACTAATCCCCATAGAAGTGCAATGGTCTTAGATTGGAAGGATCCTGAAGGATGTGAAGGAACTATACAGCCCTGTGTATTGGATCATCTTCCTATAAATTTATGGGGATGAGATGTCCTAGATCAATTAGGTTTGACATTAACAAATAACATCAATCCTAACGTGCCCACTACTAGGGCTAGACAAGGCTTTAGGAAAGAAAAAAGATTAAGAGAACAAGAACAAGGTATGACAGCACCAATTCAAATAGATCAAGAAATAAATAGACATGGATTGGGTTTTCAGAAAGGGCCACTGAGACAATCAAAATTACTTGGAAACCAGAAAGACCAGTGTGGGTTCCTCAGTGGCCCCTGACTAAAGAAAAGATACAAGTATCCCATGACCTGGGCAAACAACAATTAGCAGAGGGACATATACAACCTTCCATATCTCCCCATAATACTCCCATTTTTTGTCATTAAAAAGAAATCTGGTAAATGGAGATTATTACAAGATTTAAGAGCCATTAATAATGAGATGGTTATTATGGGACCTGCTCAATCAGGGATTCCCCAATTGTCTGCTTTACCAAAAACCTGGTATGTTTTAGCTATAGATATTAAAGATTGTTTTTTTTTTTTTTTCAATTCCAATTCATCCCGAGGATAGTCCACATTTTGCAATTACTATCCATGCACTAAATCATGAAGGTCCTGATCAGAGATATGAATGGAAAGTACTCCCTCAAGGGATGGCTGATAGTCCAACTATGTGTCAAATTTATGTTAACAAAGCAATCCAGCCACTTAGAAATCAAAATCCTGAACTACAAATGTTTCACTATATGGATGATATGTTATTGGCACATAAAGATAAAAACACATTGCTAGAATGTTATGCCACACTTACAAATTTATTAAAAAATTATAACCTAGAGATAGCAATAGATAAAGTACAATTAAATCTTCCAATTAATTATTTAGGAGTTCTATTATCCTCAACCATGGTCCATCCACCAAAAATTCAAATATGAGTAGATCAACTCAAATCACTTAATGACTTTCAAAAGTTATTGGGAGACATAAATTGGATAAGGCCTTATCTAGGCATACCAACAGGAGAGTTGGGACCTTTATTTGATATCCTAAAATTTCCATCAGATCCAAATTCACCCCGCACGTTGACGCCTGAAGCAAGAAAGGCATTAAAAATCATTGAAACATATATGGAAAATATGCATTTGGATAGAATTGATGTAAGTATGCCTTTATTATTTATTGTACTGCCAAAAAAATATTCCTACAGGAGTATTTTGGCAAGAAGGTCCATTATTGTGGACACATTTATCTTATTCTCCTAACCCTATTCTTACTAGATATCCTGAGGCTGTAGGACAATTAATACTCAAAGGACTAAAAGCAGCAAATGGAGTGTTTGGGATTTCTCCCAATAAAATTATTACTCCATATACTATGGATCAAATTGATGAGTTAGCTAATGAGTTAAATACTTGGGCAATAATCATGTGTAAATCTAATGTTTCATTTGATAATCACTTACCATCTAATCCTTTGTTGTCTTTTTGGTCTAAGCATCCTGTAGTTTTTCCAAAGATGACAAGAAAAACCCCTATTATGAATGCTCCAGATATATTCACTGATGGGTCAAATAATGGTACAGCAGCAGTATTTACCGCTGATCAAACTTTTACATTTTTAGTACCCAAACAATCAGCTCAAAAGTTAGAGCTTAATGCAGTGTTACAAGCTTTTATGATGTTTAAAGATTCTGTATTTAATTTATTTTCTGATAGTCAGTATGTAGTTAATGCTATAGTATCCCTTGAAGATGCTGGTAGGATTTCCCCTTCTTCTACTGTTTTCTCTTTGTTTTCCACTATACAAAGTCTAATCTGGGAAAGAAAAGATCCATTCTTTATAGGACATATCAGGGCACATACAGGATTGCCTGGAGCCCTTAGTTTGGGCAATGAATTAGCAGATAAATCTACACATGACATACATATTTTCTCCACAATAGAAGAAGCTATAAATTTTCATAAAAGGTAATGCTAATACTTTACAAAAGCATTTTAAAATAACTAAAGAACAAGCCCGACATATAATAAAACAATGTCAAAATTGTGTGACATTTTTACCACAAGTTAATCTTGGAGTCAATCCTAGAGGACTGATACCTAACCATATTTGGCAGATGGACGTCACACACTTGCTAGAATTTGGAAAATTAAAATATTTGCATGTTACAGTTGATACTTCTTCCAGATTTTTGATGGGCTCCCTTCATGCTGGAGAAAAAACTAAAGACGTTATAGCTCATTGCTTACAAAATTTTGCCACTGTGGGTGTTCCAAAACAGTTAAAAACAGATAATGGCCCTGGTTATGCTTCTACCTCTTTTAAACAATTTTGCTCATCATTTGGCATTACTCACGTAACAGGAATTCCATACAATCCACAAGGACAAGGCATAGTTGAAAGAGCTCATCAAACTATTAAAATGTACTTATTAAAACAAAAGGAGGGAATTGGAAAGGCCCCCAAAGATAAACTTAAAATAACCCTTTTTACTCTAAACTTTTAAAATTTGGATTCATCAGGGCTTAGTGCTGCGGAAACACATTTGTATCCAAAAAATGTACATAAGCCTAAGGTACTTTGGAAGGATATTCTAACAGGACAATGGAAAGGTCCTGACC